GCCTTATAAGGAGCTGCATCCTGCCCTCCCCAGGGTCTCAGGCCCTGGGCCACGCCCACCGAGCCTTATAAGGAGCTGCATCCTGCCCTCCCCAGATTCTCGGGCTCTAGGCCACGCTCTGGGCCTTGAAGGCAATGTCATCCCTACACAGCAGCAACCTGCACCCCCCACACACAGGCGCTCCCGTGACCTCAGCGTGAAACCATGCGCGCGAGGACAGGGCAGCGGCGACAGGGGCTGCCCACTGCGGGAGTGGCAGCAGCAGAAGCAGGAGAGGGGACTGACCCCGAGGTCCTGACCCCGGAGGGCCCCGTGGCCCTCAGGATCCCACCCACCCTCACCTGCCCGCAGGCCTGGGTCAGCAGCTCCTCGTGGGGCCAAATGGGCTTCTGCTGGTGGAAGGTGACCAGAGCGTCCAGCGAGGCGTGCGTCGCCTTCTCCCCAGGGATCACCAGGCTCCCGTCGTCCAAGAGCTTCACCATGAAGTGGCGGCAGCAGTTCGGGGCCCTGCAGAGACGCTGCGGGGTGACGGCTGGTCCTTCCACTCACCCCCCTGAGCCGGCAGCCCCCCAGCCACCGCCCACTTCCACTCCAAGCTCTTCCTAACCGGCCGTGCCTCAGTGTCCCCGTTTATGACAAGAGGTGACCAAGGCTGGCCTCAGGAATTCTCGCGAGGGTGAAACAAGCGTTACAGGCCAAAGCTGAAGGCAGTGCCTGGCTGGGGATAGAGAATGGCTAGAACTCGGAACAATGGAAATTTCAGGCTCCATCCAGTCCAAGGCTGTGTGCCTAGCACACAATAGGTGCTCAATAAATGCTCAGTTAATCAAATGAATTAGTATTTCTTTATTACAGACGATGATTTTGCAGGAGGCTCAGAGAGGCTGAGTAACATGTCCAAAGTCCTACACTTGTAATGGCAGAGCCCGGCCCAAGTACCTAACTCGGGCCTGAGTTTTTCCCATTGTAACTCTTTCATGGGACACTTCAATGTTTAACCTTTGACCTAGAATCCTTTAGATTTGCCTGTTGAAAAGTGGTTTCATGCTTCTGAATCCTCTGAGATGCCAATCAGGACTGAAGCCTTGGGCTGCCCTAGGTTTCCTTAAGGAGGAGTCAGAGAATCACTAATTAGATGGTGAAGGTGGAGGGATGGCCGTAGCCACTCTCAGAATCCCCAGAAGCTCCTGGCCTAAAGTCACCACCATGCCTTGGATTCAGCTACGTCTGCTGGATACAGCTAGACCTGCAGCCATGACCTCCAGCCAAATTGGCTGGATCTGCACATTGTCTGCTCCCTAGGAAGCCCTCTCAAAGAAGCCCAGGGCCCGCCTACCCCCTCCCGCCCTGCCCTCAGCCCAAGCCTTACCTGTAGGAAAGGGTGTAGCCCACGTGGCTGTGACTGACCCTGATGAGAAAGGACCCCAGTGGTTCTGACGCCAGCAGGTCCTCAGCAGCCCTGGAAATGTACACACAGGAGGGACATGGCCATGGCACAACTGCCCAGCACACGGGGGCCACACAGCCATGGTGGCCAGCTCTTGTGGTTTTCAAACTAAACCCAACTTTTCTCCCAGTTGTTTTAAATCTTGGGACAGTCAGGGACAGAGGCAAAGAGGCAGTCAACCTCTGGTGACAATGACCCCAGGGCAGATCTCCTCCCATCAAAGCACCTGGGGTGAACTGAGAGCCCCAGGTAATGGAGCAGGAGCTGTGGCAGGTGCACTTCAAGTCAAAACTCAGCTCTGCCGCTCACTGGCTGTGTGACCTCAGGCAGGTGTCTCTCCCTTTCTGACCCTCAGCTAAGGGGAAAGTAAGCCTCATTCCCAGGGCTGGTGTGAAGGACCTGCTCCCTCCCGAGTGCTCCCCACATGTTCTCTATGGCTACTACGTTCTCCCTTCTCTCCCCTCTTGGCTTTCTGAATGTGCGCAGGTTTTAGGCAATTGCTATGCCATTTGATAGAGGGACTTGGGCATCTAGGGATTTGGGTGTCCGAGGGAGGCCCTGGAACCAACCCCCGTGGACACAGAGGGACGGCTGCACATTGGTTGGATCCTGAAGGTTGAGGGCCACTGGTTGGGGACCGTGTTAACAAGGATTCTGAGGCTGCATCCTGCTATCACTGGTTGGTGCCACCCACCTGGGTAAGGTGGCAGGTGCTGCCGGGTGCCTGGGGGAGCTGGCCTGGTGGCAGAGAAAAGGTGAGACCCAGAGAGGGGAAGTGACCTGCCAAGGTCACACAACAGGCCCACGGAGGAAGCAGGACCCCAGCCTGAGGCCCCAGAGCCCGTTCACCCTGTGTCAATGTCAGTGGAGCCCAGGATTTTGCAGGGATGATCTGCCCAGGTGGGGTTTGGGGGTAGAAAGAGGCAGCGGGGGAGGGCAGGGTGTGTCCTCACTCTCGTGAGATGGCCCCGTGGAACCACTCGGGGACACTGCCTTGGGCCAGCTGGCCCATCTGTGTGTGCACAAACCAGTCCAGTCGCGGGGGCAGCGGCGGGGGCAGCCGCTCGGCCTCGGCCATGGCTCCCGGGTCCGGCGGCCACCTGGGGGTGAGAGGGGAGGGTCAGGCTGGTCCCCCCATCCCTGCTCCCTGCTCAGGAAGCCTCCGCTGGCCTCCGCTGGCCTCCACTGGCCGGGGTCAGCCGGCTCCAGCCCTGGGCTTGCCAAGACCCACCCGGTGCCATTCAGTCACTGACTGCTCCCAAGTCTCCAAGGACCTTTCCTTTGACTTCAGTCTTATCAGGTCACTGCCAGGGGGACCTGGGAGTCCCCCTTATGAATAACTGCCTCCGGTGCAGGGGCGCCGCTCAGGGGCAGCGTGGTGGCCCAGCGGGCGCGGCTCCCTCCGCAGCACCGGAAAATGGAACAAACCAAAGGCGCGCGCACAGAGCAGGTGGCTTTGCTTGGTTTCCTTTTTGCTTTTGCGGGGCTGGGGACGGAAGCCTGGGTCCCTTCCCCTGAGCCCTCCCCCAGCCCTCTTTATTTTTTATTTTGAGACAGAGCCTGGCTAAGTTGCTGAGGCTGGCCTCAAACGTGCGATTCTCCTGCCTCAGCCTCCTGAGTCACTGGGATCGCAGCTGTGCACCACCGCGCAGGGTGGCATGTAAACATCAAGTCCGTGTCAACGTCCCCAGAGGGCTGAGGAGGTGACGGAATGATGAGTGCTGAAGGAGATGGCGGCCAACAGCCCGTTGCCATGGTTTCACTGAACACCAGGGGCCATGTGGCCTGCAGTGGCTCCTGCCACCAGTGCTGCTGAAGGTGGCGGCCACCCCAGCGCCCCTGCCGCGTGCCAGCGACAACATTCCCACAACTTCAAGTTCAACTACTCTGGGTTGGAGAGTCCCTGACGGGAGGTGACTGGGACAGAGCACTGATTTGCCAGACTCCCTGCAGGAGTCCCCGGTGCCCCGGGGTTTCTGTCCCCAACCTGGAGCTCCGCCCAGTTCTCGGGGTCAGGAAGGCTGGCAGCTGGGCTGTTCCCAAGGGAGGGCCCTGGACCCCAGCAGCCACTGTTGACTTTCTCAGGTGACAGGCACAGCCCTGGGGTGTGGCCCAGGGAACTCTGAGCAGGCGGAGGGTAAATAACTGTGTCAGCCCTCCCCACCGCCCTCCCCACCGCCCACCGCCCACCGCCCGCCACAGCCTCGGGCAGTCGGAAGGTTCTGGTCTGGCTCTGTCTCTGGGGGCTCCCAAGGACAGGGCCCGGTGACAAGCAGTAAGGAGCCTGGAATTCCCCAACAAGATCCTACAGAACAAGATGCAAAGCCAAGGGTCCGCCACGGGGTGGAGTCCAGCTGGAGCTTCTTGGAAGCAAAGGAAACAATCAAGAAGGGGAAGGCGGCCCACAGGGAGGGAGGGTCCCCACCGCCCCTCGGTAGAGCTGGACTCCACAACTCCACACCCAGGAACAGCCGCAACCGGCCAAGGACCCAGCAGAAGCTTCACGGGACAAGAAAGACAAAGGGTCAACAATATGCGGAAAACTGTTCACCGTCTGGGGCGGTCAGAGAGCCGCAAACGGACTCACCGAGATCCCGCCTCACTCCAGTCCAATGGCCATCATCAAGAGTACAAGCGACATTCAGTGTTGGCGAGGATGTGGGGAAAGGCCCACTCAGACACTGCTGGGGGGACTGCAAATTGGTGCAGCCACTCTGGAAAGCAGTCTGGAGATTTCTCAGAAAACCTGGAATGGAACCACCATTTGATCCAGCTATCCTACTCCTCAGTCTCTACCCAAAGGATTTAAAAACAGCAGACTACAGGGACACAGCCACATCCATGTTTATAGCAGCTCGATTCACAATAGCCAACTGTGCTATATATACACAGTGGAATATTACTCAGCCAGAAAGAAGAATGAAATTATGGCATTTGTCACTAAATGGACGGAACTGGACACTATCATGCTAAGCGAAACAAGCCAATCCCCAAAACCAAAGGCCAGATGTTCTGATATGTGGATACTCACACCCCATAAGTGGGGGTGGGGGAGAAGAATAGAAGTTCACTGGATTAGAGGAAGGGGATGATGGGAGGGGAGGGGGATGGGAATTGGAGAAACAGTCGAATGAGTGGGATGTGACTTTGCTGTGTTCATATAGGATCCAGGGCCAGAGCAGCCCTGCAGCATGAGCAATCTTGGGGTGGAGGGTCAGACTCCGTGTATGTATGACAAGTCGGAGACACTGCACTGTCATGAGAATCAAAAGGAACAAATTAAACGAATAAATAAATAAATAGAGAACAGGGAGTCTGGAGTTGGAGGCCGATGATCTGAGTAGGGTTATAGTTTAGCTCACCCCTCGGCCGCTGTGTGACAGGCCACCTGACCTCCCTGTGCCTGTATTTTCGGAGATATCTGGGCATAATATTCACCTGCTCAGGTGCCGCGGAGGCCGGGGGCGTGTGCTTCGAGATGACCTAATTCCGGGGTGACAGGGCTGTAGGTCCCAGGATCACGGCAGCTGAGTAACTCCTGGGCCTGGGGCCCTCCCTGGGCCTTCTCTGTTCGCCCTGTTTAGATCCCCGAGTCCCTGCGCTGGCGTCACCGTGGCCTGCGCAGGTGACAGGGCTGCTAAGTGACACCTCCTCGGGACGCAGCCCCCTGGTTAAGGAACACGCGACTCTGTCTGCACCAAGCAGCTCTGCCCAGCCCAGGAACTTTTTTTCCCCTTGGAGGCCAGGGCGGCCTCCCTGCCTCCTCGGGCCTCCTCCCCGGGGCTCCTCCTCCCCCCTCCCTCGCCGCACTCCCCCAGCAGCTGGGACTGTCTCCGCCTCCCCCACGGGGCTTCCTGACCACCAGGCCCACGGCCGCTGTTCCGTCTGTCCCCTGGGTCCCCGCATCACCCGGCCCGGCAGGGCACCGGGACATGTGCTCATGGGGAGCGGGGGCTGCTGAGGCTCCAGCGCACCCAGCCGCACCCCCGCGAGGGGCCCTCGTCCCAGACTCCCCAGCCGCCGCCTTCCTGTGCACCCCCCCAGCCGGGGACTTGAACCCAGGGCCGAGCAGGCCAGGCAGGTGCCGCCTCTGAGCTGCCCCGGGCCTCCCGATTTCCACAGTGAGGGAGGGTGTCACTGTGCTGCCCAGGTGGCCTTGGGGCTGGGTGACAGGAGGGCGGGAGCCCCAGCCCCCGCCAGGACAGCGCCTCCCAGCTCCAGGGCCAGCCCTGGTGCCCCTTCCTCCAGGAAGCCCTCCTCCCAGCTCTGCAGAAAATCCTCCTGCCTCCGGGGACCTGGGGACCTGGCCCCCTGTCCCCGCTGCTGGCCCAGCCCTCCCATTCCCTGCCTGCAGGGACCCCTGCGGGGGCTGAGGGTGGGGACAGGTACCTGAGACCCCGGGGTGCCGGCCGGCCTGGTTTGGCTCCGGGCGGTGCGTGGGCAGGGCACCCGCCCTAGGTTCCTGCTTCCTCCAGCGTGAGCCCGGGGCGGGGCGCCACCCAGCCAACCGCGGCCCAGGTGGAGGGAGGTGACTCTCAAGCCTTCCCTGAATACCTACTGTGTGCCAGCCCCGGGGGCCACAGGGAGGACCCAGGGCAGGGCAGACCCCACCCCCTGGTGACTGTTTTCCCCAGCAATGGAGACGGCCCGAGTCTCCAAGGTCCTCACTGCCAGGTGGACGCCCGTCAGGAAGGGCTGGTGGCCGTCCCAGAGGAGCCCGGGGACCTGGGGCAAGGGGCACAGGATGCAAGAGGAAGCCCACCCGACTGGGGGGGGGGGGCAGAAAGGGGGCAGGAGGTGGCCCCCAGCATGTGCAGGGCCCGCAGCTGGACCCAGCCTGGACTGGACTGAGGTCTCACCCCGGCACAGGGTCCCCCAGACTGTCTCTGCGGAAATGCCCTTGACCTTGTGTCTCCGGATCGTGTTGGTGTCCAGGGCTGGATGCCCAGAGTCTGCTCACTCTCCGGTGTTCAGCTGTTTCTTCCGATTTTATTTTATTTTTTGAGAGTGAGAGAGAGAGAGAGAGAGAGAGAGAGAGAGAGAGAGAATTTTAATATTTATTTTTTAGTTCTCGGCGGACACAACATCTTTGTTGGTATGTGGTGCTGGGGATCGAACCCGGGTCGCACGCATGCCAGGCGAGCGCGCTACCACTTGAGCCACATCCCCAGCCCCTCTTCTGAGGGCCAGGGCGCAGGCCTGAGGGACAGCTGGGACCCGCTGTGTGCGGCTGCCCCCCGCCCTCGGCCCCCTGAGTGCACAGGCAAAACCACTTCCTCCTCGTGGGGCAGAAACTGCCCGTCCTCGTCCTCCTGGCTGCCTATCAGCCTGGCCCAGCTGGCCTCCCAGACCCCACTGTGGGATCCAGCTGGCGCCTCCCCCCAGCTCTCCCTCACGGAAGTGGGTTGGGGGAGGGTCTGGAGTCTGTGGGTCAACGACTCAAGCAAGAGATACGGGGACCCCAGCTTTTCACTCACTGCTGTGTGGCCTTGCATGAGTCACTCAGCCTCTCTGGGCTTCGGTTTCTGCAGCTGTGAACTGAGCAGGATCACATCCTCTTAGTCACATAAAGATGACAGGAGGGAAGCCTCGAGGAAGGACATGGGCTCAGTTAGCAACGGCATCAGTTCTCTGTGTGGTGACTTGGTCCAGTGTCTTTGGACTTGGCTGGGGTTGACGCAGGCTCTGGACCTCCCAGGCTGGGCCACCTTGGGCAACTGGCTCTACTTCTCTGATCCTCCATGCCCTCCCTAGCTCCTGGGCTGGCTCCTTGAAGGTGTGGGGCAGACTGTGGGGAAGAGGATAGGAGGGGCCTGTGGGACTTTGTCACTTGGAAAGCCTGGCCACCGAGGGTCTCATTTCTTGGCCCAGACCCTGAGGCCCCACTCACTCCCCTGACCACTCAGGGACGTGGGCCTCCACACACTGGCGTCCTCAGGATGTCACCGCAGAGTCCTCCCCCCCATGTCTGCAGTCCACCCATGAACACGCAGCCCCCAGGGGAAGGGGTGTCACTGCGGTGGGGACGGCCGGGCTGGGGCTCCGGGGCCCTCCTCCTCTCAGCAGCCTTTCCAGGGGGCGATCTGGAGGCCTCAGCGGGCGCTGTCACATTGGCAGCCCCCGTGGGTGGCCACCGGGCAGGCGGGCAGGGCACATAAAGGTGCCAGCACAACACTGCCACACGGGGACCGATTTTGGGCACAGGAACCTTTTGAGGGATACACTCAAGCCATATCCAAACCTTAGCACGACACAATGGAATATTACTGTGCCATGAAAAGGAATGGGACCCTCACCTGTGCCACAGCATGGATGAACCTTGAAAACACCATGCAGAGTGACAAATGCCTGCCGTGAAAGGTCACACGGCGCAGGGTTCCTTTGAGAGGAAATGTCCCAAACAGGTGAATTTACAGAGCCGGGAAGCAGACGGGTGGTGGCTCGGGATAACCAGTGGGGCAGGGTGACAAAGACGTCCTAAAACTCCTTGTGGGCGTGGCGGCACAGTTCTGTGGACACTAACGAGCCCCCAAATTGCAGGTCTCGGTGGGAGAGCCGTATGGTGTGAGGACATCTCAATACAGTGTTCCTCAAACAAAATTCAAGATGTGAGTTCTCAAGGGGACACTAGCAACAGAGCCACCCCCAGGCCCGCCCCCTCATCATCTCAGTCCCTGGGAATAAGGCAAATCGACTCCTAAAAAGAAAAGAAAAAACCCTCTGTGCTGGGAGCAGTGGAGCACGCCTGTCACCCCAGCAGCTCGGGAGGCTGAGGCAGGAGGATGGCGAGTTCAAAGCCAGCCTCAGCAACTTAGCGAGACCCTGTCTCAAAATAAAATATAAAAAGGGCTGAGGCTGTGGCTCAGTGGTAAAGCACCCCCTGGGTTCCATCTCTAGTACCGGAGGAGGAGGAGGAGGAGGAGGAGGAGGAGGAGGAGGAGGAGGAAGGAGGAGGAGGAGGAAGGAGGAGGAGGAAAAGAAAAGTAGAACTCTGAAAGAAAGAAATCTATTGTCAATCTAGTGACCTGCTGCACGAGTGGTCAGGTATAAGGGAGGACTGAGGGAGTCAAGGAATCCTGTGACCTCACTGGGGGGGGGATTTGAGGCTGTGGGGGCAAACACAGAAGGTCCCTGACTCAAATGGCTCCAGTTTACCATTACGTGAAGGGTGCCGCCAACAACCCTCTGCTCTTCCCGTTCAGCGTAGTATTTAATGGAGCGCTAGCGAGGTCCAGCCGCAGTGTGGGCCAGGCTCTGTGCTAGACGCTTGGCCACCCACCAAGCTAAGGCAGGGTCCTGAGCACGCTCAAGGAGGGCGAGGCTGGGCCGGGGTGTTGGGTAGGGTGGCCGGTTCTCTGCATTTGCAATTTAGGTTATTTTCCCAGGCTGGGTAGTGCACGCCTGTAATCCCAGCTACTTGGGAGGCTGAGGCAGGAGGATGGCAAGTTTGAGGCCAGCCTGGACAACTTAGTGAGATCCTGTCTCAAAAAAGAAAGAAAAAGGGTCAGGAGTGTGGCTCAGTGGTGGTCGCCCTTCCCGGCTTTGCCCTCCAGGGCCGGGGAAACCACCCCGAACCTCCAGGTCCTTCCACTCTGCACCAGGTTTGTGGACGCAGCCCGTTAGGCCCAGTGACAGCCAACAGCAGCTACTCCGCTGCTGGTTCCCTTGTTAGGTGGGAAGGGAGGCGGTTCTGCCTGGGGCACAGCTCAGTGTCTGGTGTCCTGTGCGCCTGTCCCTGTCTGGGACCTGCCACCTCCCTGGCTGTCCACAGCCATCCTGAGGCGGGAACCGTGGTCACCCCCATTTCAGAGATGGGGGTGCCGAGGCTGAGCTGGTGAGGCTGAGCACGTGCCCGGGTCTGGGCTGCGCTGGGATCTGAGCCCAGGCCACCAGATTTCCCACGGCCTCTAGAGGGCTCAGCAGGAAGGGCCGTCCAGCCAGTGCTGGGGACGCAGGGACAATAGCAACTCTTCTCCAGAAGAGTTGTGCGATCTCAGGGCACCACCAGCCTAGGGTGAGGCAAGTGCCAAGGCCCTGGGGCAGCGACTACCAGGGGAGACTGCAGTCATGAAAGGAGCGAGGATCGTGTCCCTGAATGCCAGTCGGGACCGGGGAGGCTTTTAAACAAGAGGCAGAGGGTGTCCACGTGATCACCCCATGGGAGCTTGGGCACCGAGTGTACCAAGCTTCAGTGATGACCATGTTGCACACGCGTTGTGGGTCACACGTGTGACTCCATGGTGGGGGGATTCTGGAAGCTTCTGCCTGGTTTTCCCTGCACATATCCTTGATTTGCTGATGCTGCTCTTTAGCCCTTGGCTGTGAGCCACCTTTGCCTTGAGCACAGGCCATGGTTCGGATGTGATCTGTCCCCAGAGTTCGTGTTTGGAAACTTGTCCTCAGTGTGGCCCTGTTACAGGAGGGGCCTAGAGGGAGTCAACTGACCGTCAACGGGGCCCTGCCCTCCAAAGGGACTCTAGGACCCTAGCTGCTGTCTGGCTTCCTGTCTTGCCATGTGACATCTTTCTCCAGCACACAATGCTGCCAAGGGCTGGACCAATGGGCGGTGGCCTGACCTTGGACTTTCAGCCTCTCACAGGGTGAGCTACAGAAACCTCTTTTTTTAGTAAAGCAGGCTGCCTTGGGGGCTTCGTTACAGTAATGAAATACACGAATGCCATACACCAGATGTTGAGCACTGGTGAGCCAGCACAGGAGTGACCCTGGGGACCCTCAAAGGGGCAGAAGGCCATGAAATCTGGATTAGAGGATGGGCTCTGGGAGGGGCCACCAGGGGATGTGGAGGCAAATGGTGGTTGAGTGAAGAGGCCCAGCAGTGCAGAGCCAAGGTGAGGCTGCTCTCGGGAGGAGGGAACTCGGGTGGGGAGGGTCTGAAGCCAGTGCTCAACCTGGCCACGTCACCAGGGATCAGGACAAGAGAGTCTTGGGGGCCGGTGGGAAGGCTGTGGTGTGCACAGAGTGGAACTGTAGGTGGGGTGTCAGGGCCAGGTCAATGACAACGGTGTCACCTCCCTGGAAGTCCTTCAGCTGTAACTGAGGGGAGCCCCCCTGCTCCCCCAACCTGGGCTGTTTATTACTTTTTCCTTCAGTGTTTTTGAGATGGGGTCTTGCTGTTTCCCCTCTGGTTTTGAACTCCAGGGCTCCCCCAGTCCTCCTCCCTCAGCCTCCCAAGGAGCGCAGACTCCAGGCCCCGACATCACGTTACACCCAGCTCCAAAATCTTTTTAAAAATTGCTTTCTGCAGTGGTGGATGCAGCCCAGAGCTCCCCGGCCAGCTCTACCCGCCCAGGTACTTCTCTTATTTGAATGCAACTGGAAACCAGTCAAAAAGGTTGGAGCCACACAGTCCCGGGACTGGAATTCCAGGGGGGGCTGCAGCTCCGTGGCAGAGGGTGCTTGGTGTGAGCGGGGCCTGGGTCCCAGCCCAGTGCCAGACACACGCACAGGAACTCTGGGTGGGGAAGACGCAGGCGATAGGGGTCGGAAGCAGGGGGAGACCCAAGGATGGAGGGGAAAACATAAAAAAATACACGAGACACAGAGAGGGATGGAAACGTGACCCAGGAGTGGGCAGGGCCAGGTGGGGAGAGGGCTCAGGACATCCCGGGCCCACCGCCCCCCCTCTGGGCAGCACGTGAACATGAAGCCCGGGAACTTTAGAATGAGCTTTAATTGGTCTGTTTTCCTTAAGTGCATTTATGATGTAAACAGAGCAGGTTAGAGACCCCAGGGGAGAGCAGACATTGCTGGTATGTTCGTTTTAATTCAAAAAAGGAGAAAGGTGACGTCAATGACTTGGATTGACA